AGGGTGCTAGTCTGCTGATCTTAAAATAGGGAGATTATCCTGGATTATCTGAGTGGGTCCAATGTATTCACAAGGGACCTCAAAAGTAGCAGAGAGGGGCAAAAGAGATATCATTGCAGGCCTCTACAAGCTTGAACAGGCAAGGAGACAGATCCTCTCCTGAACCTACAGAAGGAAAGTGTGTGCCCACACCTTGACAGCAGCCCGGCGAGACCCCATCAGACTTTTCACAACCCTCAGAATAGTACTTTTCTGTGGTTTTAAGCCACTAATTTGTGGTAACTTGCTACAACAGAAAATAGAAAACTAGGCCTTCGATTCTAATGCTTGGATTTTAGGAAAATTTTAGCAATGATAACCACTACCAAAATGATCCTATAATCCAGGACACTGCCAGTTTTATAAACTGTTTGGTACTACTCTCCAAGGAGATAAATACAGAAATGTACTTCGTTTTATGTAATCGAATTTTATGTCTGCTGAACTCATTAACAAGAACCTCAGGCTTGTACTTTTATTTCTTCCGTTTCATTTATGTATCATTTTATGGTATTTTACAAAAGCACTGGCTGACACAGCCGGAAATTTTATTTTTCTAAAAAGAGGTCATTTACAGAAAAGGAAAGTGAACCAATGTAGGTTTAAATCACTTAAGTTAAGGAAGAGTAATTCTCTCATCGCCTAGCCACTGAACTAACAAATGTTTATGAAGAGGCTTGTACGCTCAACACCAAGCTCCAGGCCGGAGCTACCGCGCAGAACGAGACCCAGCCACCTTCTCCCAAGCGAGTCGCCCTAGACTGCCTCCCTGGCAGCGCTCCCTGCTGGTCTCCCTCCCACCAGCACGCGCCCCAGGAAGCCACGCAACGGAGTGTGGACCGAGCCGGTCTAGCACGTAAATGCCGTGTAAAAGCACAATCAATGAAGAAAAACACCGAGCCCGCGCTGGGATCCGCAGGGCCAGGAGCAAGGCCACAACATCTCCAACCGCGGGGCCCACCCACAACCCCAAGGTCCGCACCCGACATCAGACTCCGCCCCGGCTCCCGGCCCCGCCCCCCGCGTCGCAGGCGTAGCTCCACCCCCTACGCCAGGTCCCAGCCCCGACTCCCGGCCCCGCCCAGCGCGTCGTGGGCGCACAGCTCCCGCGGTTCCCTCTCACCCGCCCGAGCTCCGCTTTCCGCTGTAGCTCCGAGTGCCGTTCCAACGCGCTCGCGAAGCCGCCTGGGCGCGGCCTAGGCTCCATGGCATCGGAACGCCCACTCTCGGTGCCTGCGCCCCGAAAGGGCCTCGAGAAGAGACGCGCTCGCAGAAAATGGCTCTCGGCAGCCGCGGCACGGGTCCGACATAGCGCCGCCATGGCTTCTCCCACAACCTCTGACCTTTGGCCTCCGCAAGCGCGCGGGTCACGGGGCGGAGCGATGAGAGGCCCGCCCACCTGCCGCCGAGCGCTGAGGGCCGACGGGCGTGGTCTGTCTGTTGCGGGGCCGGATGGTGGGGCGTGAGAGCCTGAAGCTGAAATCGGTGGCAAGAGGTGCTCTGGGTTTTGCGTGGGGAGGACATTTAGCCAGCGGAAATTTCACCCCTTGGGGCCTCGGTGGGTCCTCGTCCTGCTGTGACTCCAGTCATGCAACGCTTGCTGTTCGCCTGGGCCGCTCTGCTAGAGGCCCGCCCGCGTCGTTCCCCCGCCCCTCGGGACTCGCTCAAGTACGAGGTTCTCCTCGATCGCCCATTTAGCATTGGGAGCTCAAACACAGACTCTCTGGCTCTTCTGCTTTTCCTCCGTGCCACGTAGCCCTTCCTAATACGCCATATAGTTTACTTGAAATAAATCTTAGTGTCTGCTCCCCCAACTGGGGGGATCCGTGGCGCCCGCCACATGGAGGTTCCGCCAACATCTGTGAAACCCTGGATCGAAGTCTGTTGTTCGTGGCCACTTCCGCGCCCAGTGCAGCCACGTTGCAAAGCGGATCGTCTTTCTGAGAGGTTTTGTCGCTTCGGGATAGCTGCTGTCCATCTCCCCTAGGGAATTAAGAAATCTCAGGCCTAGCCCTTTGGGAAAGTCGCTTGAGACCAGGAGTTCGAGACTAGCCTGGACAACTTGGCGGGGCCCCATCTCTATAAAATAAGTTTAAAGAAAAAGAAATCCAAAGTCAAACCTTCCTGGGCACCACGGGGGATCTCCCACAAGTTCCCTTTTGATTTCCGGAGGTTTTTTTTTTAAAAAGAAATATCGGTATGTACCGGCACTAGAAGCACCCACCCTCACTCTTGATTTTCTAGTCTCTTCCTTCCACCCAATGTTCATTTCCCAAATTTGCCCACCCTTTTCAAAACCAAGCCTAACACCGTGACTGAGAAACTGTTTACAGATTAAGCTGTCCATCTTTTACCGAGTTTTCTACTAATCCACAATTAATTGGGGAAGGGCACACATTTTTCCAATTCATTTGCACTTTTGAGAGAAGTGGTGTTTATGACCACAGACCCTATTTTAATGCCTCTGACTAGGGATTTGAAGCTTCTCTGATGCTCTTCAACTGACATCAATGTGCAGAACATGAAGAACACTGATCTCGGAATGGGGCATAACTATGAATCACATGAAATTATTACTAGCCAACTGAAGGGTAATCCTTACAAGTCAGTAGGGGGCTTAAGATAAATTCTGCAGATGAGTTCTCCTTGGCACTTAAGCTATTTCATACCTTGACCAATAATGGACTCGTCTAAAAGTGTTGCATTATTGTCTGTGGCTGCTGCTACTTCCACTTCCTTTCAGGAGAAGTATGGTAAATTGTAAAGAGCATGACTGTTAAGAACTTTCCATTCTAATCCTGATCTTAGGCAGACCTATTTAATGTTGATTTCATTTGTTCGCTTGTAAAACCAAACTATCACCTCCTGTGCAGAGCTTAAGGAAGTACTTTCTAAATTTAACTATGTCAGTATAGATAGAACAAATGGTGTTACTAAGGTCCTGGCTCTACAATTCAACAAATGTATTAGATTCATGTCCAGCTTCAGCCAGATGATAAATTTCTCAAGGATTGTGAAGTAAGCATTTGGGAACAAATCCTGCAGTTTTTAACGTACTTGTTGATGGTGGGTGTATGTACTCAAAGGACAAATAGGATACATCTTCTTGAAGTTTGGGTTTACCTGAAGATTGTAGGCTACGTTCACATTAAACACTTGTAAAAAAAAAAATACATAGATGCAAAATTCACGCAACTTTAAAACATAAAAGTCTGTATAAGTTTTGCCTTGGTCTCTGTCTTTGGTAGAGCATCTGAAGTATCAAATGAGAGGGACTGTAAGAAACTGAGCAAATCAAGGATGTATGACTTTACCTCCTGTGCCAAGCTTGAGGAAGTGCTTTGTAAATTTAACTACATCAGCACAGATAGAACAAGTGCCAACTGTAACATCACCTGTAATGGCAGTATTTTCACATTTTCTGATTCTGCTCCAACTACTCCCTGCTTTATTAAAAATACTGGGCCTAGTTCGGCATGGTGGCACACGCCTCTAGTCCCGGCTACTTGAGAGGCTGAGGCAGGACTGCTTGAGCCCAAAAGTTCAAGTCCAGCCTGAGCTACTTAGGGAGACCTCATCTCAAAAAAACAGGAAAAAAAACAAAAAACTCAGGTCTCCTTCATTCTCCTATGGCTTGCAAATTGTTAATATGCAGTGCAAAAACATTAGTTATGGCAGATGGCAAGGAAAGTGAACAGAAAATTGAGTATAGTGCTAAGTTCAAGTCTCATCTGTAAAATGGTGATACCACCACATACCTGAGTAAAGAATTAAAAGCAGTAAATGTAAAATGCCTGGACACTTACTGAAAGCTCAGTGAGGTGTAGCTATTAGTGGCTAGGTGAAGGGGAACACAAGATGATTAGAAATTCATGCCTCTTAACCATATGTGCAAACCTGAAAGAAAGGTTTAGAGATACAGACTGAGGAGCTATTCATATCACTCTAAAGATACTTTAGTCATTTCAGTCATAGAAATAGATAAGATCATTAAGGGGATCGTGTAGAAGATGGCTAGAAATAGGCAATAGCACTTGAGTTGGAAGAATATTAACTAAAACATAGTCAAACTGGAAAATAACAGAAAATTCTAGAACCCAAGGAAGAAGTAAAAGCTTTTTGAAAGTGTTAGAGTGAAAGACCATGTTCACTTACAAATATGCAAGCAACAGATTTGTGTTTGGCTTTTACTGTACGGTGGGAAAATCACCAAATCAAAATCACACTACCAACCAACCTCAGTAAGTAACATCAAGATTACATATTAGAGTTGCAAGAATTTTTAGTTACCAACAGCATTTATCTAAGATCCTGGCAAGGTGACAGCATATACAGGCCATACCCTCTGAGTACTTACAAATTAAGAGTGAAAGCGTTTTGTTTCATTTGGATTTGAGTCAGAATAAGGAAACTGTGAAATCTAAGGTTTGCAGGTTTACTTAAAAGTGATGATACTTGATGTTTATTGTGGCTCACACATGGTCTCTATAATTAATACAATTAGAATTGGGACAGTCATTACAAATAGGGACTACTCAGTGGCCAAATTTTGTGATAGGCAAAAACGTGACTTTTTTTTTTTCATCTGAGCTTTAAGAGCTATAAAGAAAAATGGCCAGGTACACTCATGTAGTCCCGACTACTCAGGAGATTGAGATGGGAGGAATGCTTAAGGCCAGGAGTTCAAGGCCAGCCGGGGCAACATAGTGAGACCTGATCTCTAAACAAAAGAAACCGAAGGAAACACATGGTCCTAACAAACTTCTGGTACATATGCAGCAATAGTCGTTAACAAACAAATTTTGGTGGCCAGCATGTAGCTTTTTCAGTTCTGCTAGATACACTGATTTAACACAGCTGCTCCAAGTTCTTTACATATTCGGGATATAAAGGGTTTGGAGAGAAGGTGCACAATGGACTTGCCCCTTTCCTCAACAGACAGGTAATGCATACAAAAGAACTCATGCCCAAATTATAGAATTTTTATTGTTTTAAATACTATACAAAAAAATAGACAGTGTGTATATCTTGATTAACAGATCCAGAAACAGTCCAAATTAAACCTGTTTTTTAATTCTACTTCAAGTCACTTTGTGTTGCTGATATTCCAATTAATGGATTCAACTCATTGATTACTTTGGCCTTGTAAGCAAAAGAATTCTTTCTTTATTTCCCACAAGCTCCATAAATTAAGGATATTCCTTTTTGTAAGTGGGGGATTTTTTCAGGGATATTTTCTTCAGTCACACTTCCTGAGTCCTTAAATATCTGAGATTTGTAAATATCCGAGAGTTCACTCTCTTGCTTTTTTTTTTTTATAGTGTCAAACACAAAACACAATAGAGTAACCAGGACCTCTTTCTGGTATTTTCTACTGATGACTGTATTTCAAATTCCTTTACTATCCGTGAATTCATAATATTGAATCTGTCACAAAGACCATTTTGAATAATAATTAGATCTATGTTTATTTTTCTAAATTCATCCTCTTTTTTACTATTTCTTTTTTACTACTTCTTTTAAGGGCCAGAATGCTTTGCAAATACATTTTTCAAAGTTTTTTTTTTTTTAGCTTAAGTGTAGGTAGATGTCTGGAAAAGTGATTCTCCAATTTATTTCACAACCATCCTCAATATCCACCTCCATCCACCCATGCCACTTCCCACCTTCATTTCTACCCCATTTGGGCAGTAAAGTTATACTTGAGGATATTTCATTCAACCAAAGAAATTACCATCTTACTCCATTTGCCTTGCTGAAGAGGGAAGGACATGTAAACAATGTGATGAAAAGATGCCGGAATAAAAATTTAAAGACTAGATAGAAACAGTAATTTAACAGTTATGTTGAGTAACCAAAATATTTCTATAGAAAGACAAAATTCTACAGGTCTACTCCTCTGGGACAACACTTCAATAACCTTTGCCCTCAAGTGTCTAAAAGAAAATTATTTAGAATATGTTAATATACCAGTAATAAAGTGGATAGTAAAAAATTCCCCTCCCCCACTTTTCTTAAAGCATAGACATTGATCCTTTAATACAACAAGCTGTTTCCAGACCACCGGTCTCATAATAAATATTGAGACCTATACAACTTACATACAGAATTTATTAAGCTTTTCACATGAATAGAGCATAGGTTTCATTGCATCCAAGGTGCTAACAGAAGCTCTAGCAATCGAGAATGGCAGCATGTTATTTTATGACGATCAACACTTGTGGCTTTTCAAATTTGGTGTTTATAAGTTAACTTATCCTGAAGTAAATCTAGCCATGCTTTTAAAAAATGCTTTAGGTCACTCCAAGTTTGGCAATTAACATTTGGCATAAACAATAATAAAATAATCACAACTTGATAAATAACAAATACAACACTGTAGGCCAGAGACATATACAGCATAAGAAAAAGTTGATGGTAAGGAGTAAGTAGTTACTAATAGAGTCTCTTGGCCTCCATGCAAATATGCCCAGAAGGTTAGATTCACCAGCCCCAACATTCAGTTTTCAAAGTAGGGGGCAGAGTCTACAGTATCATTTTACAATTTCTAACACACAGAAAACAAATAAGTAGAAAACAATGAGTTAATTTTTATTAATGCATGACAGCCTCAGGAGTTATCACCAACCCCTTAGTATAAAAAATTTTCAAGTTATATTAGTCATATAACTTTGTGTGCTTATTTTAAATGGTGCAAAATGGATTAAATGAAGAAACGAAGACAATAATGTTTCCCTTAATGTAAATGATTTTGGCATTTTTTATACCCATCTAGATCTAAAAGACTTTCAGGCTTTTGAACTGAATAGTGATGAGTGTGTTCACATTTCAACCTGTTAATAAAATATGCTTGATTCAGAATGTTGCTTTGTTAATTGACTCTGAAATCAAAATTTTAACCTGGTAAAAAATAAGTTGATACAAGTGGCATAATAACCAATATACTGAAATGATTACTGTCACAAACGGTGATAAACAAGGATACAGGGACTTCACTCTAAAGTCACCTAGAAGTTTGATTACTGTACATACTGTCTGTCACTTATAAAACTGTAACAGATTGGATGGAGAGCTGTTTACTCTTGTGTCTTCAGACATCCAAGATATGTACCTTATCCCGAAACAGTATTTATTCCAAAATATTTTTTGTAGTGGCTAGTTCTTCCCTTAAAGGTATAGAAAATATACCAAACTTTTAATAACCAGGATTCAGAAAGTTTTAAAGTACAGTTTTAGTTAGGAATCAAATATACAGCAAGTCAAAGAGGAATAAAAGGAAATCTGATAGAAGACAAAATCAAACTGGCATCCCAGATCTACACCAATTTTGTAAAGTAGAAAAACAACTAACAACCCGTAGAGCTTCTGAGATCATTCTAGCGAGTATTCTCAGGTACTGCAAGTGTTTTAACAATGTTTCCTAAATAAAGGACCTTAAATGCACATTAAAGGGTGTTTCCCAAGAATAGAGGTGAAGATACTTTCATTTTGTTTAACCCACAAACTATTTGGTCAAAGGAATATGTAAAGCTAAATAAAAGCACATCTGGTAGAAATTCATGGCAATGAATGTTGACAAGATGTGCCTGGATCTTGCTTGCAGCATCTGGCAGTGGGTAGCAGAACAAAGGTAGGAATCTCACAGGCTCTCCTGTGTCTGCTCTGGAAGAGGCTCTGTGGCGGTGGCACTAGCATTCGCAGCCGAATTCAAGACTTCTCCAAAATCACCGCCAGCAGGCTTGGTTCCCCCTACTTTAGACTTAAAAAAAAGTTCAAAAAAGAAAAAGACACCATGAAACATAAAATTAGCTAATTCTGCAAAAAGCAACTGAAATTTTACTTACAAGAACAAAGAAATCAGGAACCTAATAGTTCAGTGATTATTATTATATATAGAATTAAGTACTGTTGTGAAGTTCAGTGTGGTTTTACATTAAAACTTATGCATTCTTCCCTGCTGACATATTCACACTGGTAAATCCCTCTTCATTTTTCTCCCTATCTGCTCACTGTTCTTCATGAGGAAGTCTGTCTACAGAACTTTGTAAGGCCTAGTATTCTAAAATATCTAGTGAACATTTTTGTTTGTTTGTTTTTCAAGTCAGAGTCTCACTCTGTCGCCCAGGCTGGAGAGCAGGGGCACACTGACGGCCACCACAGCCTAGACCTGCTGGGCTCAGGCGATTCTTCTGCCTCAGCCTTCCACGTAGCTGGAACCACAGGCATGTACCACCATGCCCAGCTGATTTTTTTATTTATTGTAGGGACGAGGTCTCGCCATGTTGTTCAGACTGGTCTCGAACCCCTGAGCTCAAGTAATCCTCTTGCCTCCACCTCCCAAAGTGCTGGGATTACAGGCATGAGCCACTGCACCCAAACCCACTGTGTTACCTTTATTCACTCTACCATTATCTTTAGCCCAGATTACACCTTCCTTCTCCCAACTACCTGTCTCCAATCTTTTTGATGTGCAGGGCAGCCATTGAAATGTACACAATGCACCCCCTGGTTGTTTAAAATCCTTCAATGACTTCTCACTGCCCTCGGTTTGAATTCTTTAACATGGCCTACCTATCTCTCTAGCTTCACCTCTTGGTTCAATACCCTACAGCAACAGGACTGATAACGGTAAGAAACCTGTCTTGACCAAGGAAAGATGCTCATTAGTGGGTGTGAATTTAACTGGCTCTTAGCTCAGTCTTAACTGGCCAGAGACTTCCTAAAAATTGGAATCCAATTGACTCTTTCTTTCTCATTCTTTTTGGTTTCCTGTCTAAAATCTTTTGTTTGGGAAACTTGAACAACTTGTAACCATGGATTATTTATTAAATTTATTAAAACACACTTTTTAAATGAGTTGGGGTCTCACTGTGCCACCCACGCTAGAGTGCAGTGGCATGACTGCGGCTCATCACAGTCTCCACCTCCTGAACTCAGGCGATCCTTCCACCTCAGCCTCCCAAGTAGTTGGGACTATAGGCACATGCCATCACCCTGACCAATTTTATTTTTTGCAGAAACAAGGTCTTGCTATGTTGCCTAGGATGCTCTCAAACGCCTGGGCTCAAGCAACCTTCCTATCTCTGCCTTCCAGAGTGCTGGGATTATACACGTGAGGCATGGCGCCTGACCCCATTGCTTTACCTTAATTCACTCTATCATCATCTTTAGCCCTGGATTATACTTTTCTTCTGCCAACTAATCTACCTGTCTCCAACCTCTCTCCCTTTTGATGTGCAGTAAAGGCACTGATATTGCTAAAATGTACACAATGAACCCCCCGGTTGTTTAAAATCCTTCAATGGCTTCCCATTACCCTAGGTCCAAATTCTTTAACATGGCTACTCATCTCTCTAGCTTCACCTCCTGTTCAATACCCTATAGCACAGTGAAGTTTCTGTTGGGCCTCAAAAGGACCCCAAAGCTTCAAACATTCTCCTCATTACTGCAACCTCTGAGAGGCGCTGTCTGACCCTCCCTCCTGCCAAGCTAGGTAGGTTACTCCTACTTGTTCTCACTGCCCCTCAACTTTCCGTGTCACAGCCCTTACCCTCACTTTATTTTCATTGGCCATTTAATTGTCTAAGCACCTTGCAGAAAAGGTCTATGTCTCTCTTGCTCCAATACCTAATACTCATTGCCTGGCACATGGCACATGCTCAGTCATCACGGATAAATGAATCAATCCAAAGTCAAAATGTAGTACATGTAGACCTGATGTTTAAATTTAAGTGCAATTTAGCAAAACTATATTTCAAGCATACACCTATATTTTGCAGCTTCCTTGGGATACCTGTTTAACACACAATCCTTTTTTAGATTACATTTTAGATTTACATTTACATTTAGATTCCATTTTTTAAATCCAAATGATACATAGTCATATTTTAAAAACAGAGTCCACTACAATGTATACAATCTAAAAATACTCTGGAGAACAATATACAGTAAATGACCTGGAAGTTTCTCCTCACCTCCAATGTTGAAAGAACAGAGGCAGCCTAGTTTCCCAACTGGCCATTTCAAAAACTAATGCTTAGGGCAGATTTCAAGGAGGGCTATCACATCCCTAACAATATTGAGAACTGAATTATAGTAAACCCTGACTTTCAGCAACTAGTTTGCTTTCAAATATATGACTTGGCGTTAAGAAGAATAAAGCAGGTCTCCTGAAATGACCTAGAAGAATGACTATGATATATTTTTATTCATCAAGTATATACTGAGCAACATGCTAAAGACTGTTCTAAGCCCTTGAGAAATTTCAATGAGCAAAAAGAACAGGCCCTGCATTCACAGGTTCACACAGCAGCACGCATCCTGCTGGTAGAGGCTGAATGAACAAGCTGCAATGCCAGGTGTATACTGTGATTCCTTTTGGAAAAACATTCACACATTTGCATACAAACAGAAAAGGTGCGTACCAATGTCTGTATGTTCAAGAAAAAAGATTCAGATCACTGTAGAGTGTTCTGGTTTTCTTTTAACAAACATATTCTCCTTCTGTAATTTTTAAAAGATGCATTTAAAACATAAGTGATGCAGTTAAAGTTCTGAAAGACTGAAGTGAATATTCGTTTTTAAACTGACTTACATAAAAAACATTTAGGGTTTTCATTTTAATCCTTAAAATATATCCACCATAATTATCAGAGTTAGGTTAGGAAGAAATGAACATGTGGGTTTTATACAAACTCTGTAGGGAGGTCAGGCACTGGATGGGAGCTATATGACCTTTGAGGTTGCTTGTGATCCTAAGAGTTGATGATTTTTGTCATTTTGGATATAATCTTAAAGGTAATACAATTTACAAATCAATAAAGCTAATCATTATGGGAAAATGTTCACCTCCACCAAAATCAAATAAATTTTTAAAAAACAGTGAATCATCAATGATGATCATCACGGCAGCATTATAACAATAAAATTTTCCAGCCAGGCACAGTGGCTCAAGCCTTAATCTCAGCACTTTGGGAGGCTGAGGCAAGAGGACTGCCTGAACTCAGAGGTTCGAGACCAGCCTGGGCAACTTGGCGAGACCTTGTCTCTACAATAAATCAGAAAATTAGCTGGGAATGGTAGTTCCAGCTACTGGGAAGGCTGAGGTGGAAGGACTGCCTGAGTCCAGCAGGTTGAGGCTGTGGTGGCCATGAGTGTGCCATTGCATTCCAGCCTAGGTGACAGAGTGAGACTCTGACCCCCCCCAAAAAAGTCCATTAATTGAGGATTTGAACAAATGATATCCATCAGGTAATAGACAGGAAGCTGCATAATATTAAAAGAGAATACTCAGTGATACAGGAAAATTTTTATGATACATGGTGATGACTTTTTGGTATACATATATCACTGTCTCTGGCTGGTAGAATCTTTTTCTTTTTGTTTTCTTTCTTGTGCTTTCTATATTTTGTTAATTGTCTACAATAAAATTACATTAAATTCTGTCCAACTACAAGAGTATTTGAAATGAATAAAGCAAAAAAGCAGCACAAATTTCTCGAGTGCTGTTGCTTTGTAACTTGCATTTAGCATGCAGTGTGATGCTACAACATACACTAGAAAAACTGATTTACAAAGTACATAACACCTTCAATGTCCATGAATAACATAAAGAGTCAAGTTTTTACCATTCCTTAAATATTTGCAGAAAGAAACACTAATGTGAATGATTTACCCACACCAAAGAAAATTAAGGCACCAGGCAATGTACCACAAAGACCCTGTTCGTCTCTCTACTTGCCTTTAAGTTTTCAACCTTTTCTTCAAAAGATTTGAAAGTTGGAGAGTTTCTATGGAGAGAAAAGAAAAACAATAGTAAAATTACAAATACTGGAAAAAAAACAACAATTTTGAAAATACCATTAGTTCGTTCTATTCCTCTTGAACATTATTCTCATTAGCAAGAGAACAGATATAATTATCAGTATCATATATGTGCAGGCATATATACTATTTATCATAATGTGAGGTTATCGGCTTCTGACCTAAGATTTCTAAGAGTATGCTTTTTGATTCCATGAATAGATATAGATATGGCCACGTACATGTATGAGGAGGAGGAACAAAGCCAGAGAAAATGTCAATTCAGTCACCTTCCCCAACCAACTTGTCACAGTACAAGAAAATGCCACCAGATCAGTTTAATTTGGGTTAGGTACAGTACTATGCTCTAGAACTCCTGTTTTGATTCACATCTTGCCTGGCAGGATTCTTACATGAACCCCCAACAACCAAGCAGGTCAAACAGACCATCTGAGGTTCCATCTCAATACCCAGAAGGCGGCACAATAGAGGGGACAAGAGGGACCAAAGGGAGGAACCCAGAAAGCTGGCTCTGCCTACTTCACAATGCTGCCCCCAACTAATGCAGAGAGCACTCTGAGCATGCATGACAGTGCCTTCACATTCACCCATATTAACTGAGGAACAATGGGCACAGTGGCTCATGTCTGTAATCCCAGCACTTTGGGAAGCTGAGGCGAGAGGTCTGCTTGAGCCCAGGAATTCAAAACCAGCCTAGGCAACAGCAAGACCTCATCTCTACAAATAATCAAAAAAATTAGCTGGACCATAGTGGTGCACACCTGTAGTCCCTGCTGCTTGGGAGGCTGAGGCCAAAGGATCGCCTGAGCCCATGAGGTCGAGGCTGCAGTGAGCTTTGATCATGCCACTGCATTCCAACCTGGGCAACAACGAGACTCCAATTAAAAAAAAAAAAAAAATGAAGAAGTACCATAGCGCCTTTGTCCCACATGGGTTTCCAAAGGTGTTATTCTATCCACCTGACCTTGAATAGCCTTTCTACTACGCAGATGACAGAGGCAAAAAAGAGAACAAGGGGGTTCCTCTTTCCCACAGTGGGGATGACAGAAAAGTGTCAGCCAATGATTTTCAAAGTGTGGCCCCAGACCAGCTGTATCAGCAGCTCTGGCAAAGTCATCAGCCAATGCCAGTACTCAGGACCCAAACTAACCTAACTCCATAGAATCAAAACAGAGTGGGGTTTTGTTTGTTTGTTTTTTGAGTCAAGGTCTCACTCTGTTACCCAGGCTGGAGTGCAATGGTACACTCACAGCTCACTGCAGCCTCAACCTCCAGGGCTCAGGCTATCCTCCTACCTCAGCCTCCCAAGTAACGGGGACTACAGGCATGCACCACCACACACAGCTTTATTATTAGTAGTAGTAGTGGTGGTGGTGGTGGCAGTAAGGACAAGGTCTTGCTATGTTGCCTAGGCTAGTCTCAAGCTCAAGGACTTAAGTGAGCCTCCCATCTCAGCCTCCCAAAGTGCTGGGATTACAGGCGGTACCCACCATGTCTGCCTTCAACAAGACGTTAACAAACATCCTAAGTGATTTCAATGTACACCAAAGTTTAAGCCAAACATATATTGTTAAAAATCCTCTGCCTCAAGAGAGGTAGGTGAGGTAATACCACTTGTAAGTGCTTACTGATGAAAGTGGTAGAACTAAACCACAACTGGCTCCAAATGTCACAATGGGATGAGGACAGTGAAAGGGAAGGATGGCAGAAAGGGGGCGTACAACCAACCGCAGCTCAACAAAGGTGGTGGAACGCCTCCACCAGGACAAGAAAAGGTTATTAGATGAGCAGTGCTCACTTTGTCAAGTGATTTCAGAAAGGAAACAAAATAAGATGTTGTTTATTTCTAAATAAAAATAGAAATAACGCTTTTTTAAATAATCGCAAGCATTTAATGTATCTCTTGCACCCATCCCAATATTAGAGAAAAAGGAACTGTAAACTGATACAATGTTAAACTTGTTAACATTGTAACAGTGTTAGCATACAGTTAAATGCTTGTGTAGAGTAGAAAACTAGTTCCCTGATTCAGAGCAGTTCAGATTAAACATCTAAATAAGAAAAGAAAGCAAAAGACAAACTACATTTCTTAAAAATATACTTTACCTCATAGCAGGCATGCTAATTGAATGTTGAATGGAGCGTATACTAAGAGGCAGCATTAAAAAGAGATAGAAAGGAAATTAGTGTAGTGGTGATTTGACATTACAAAAAGTCAACAAAGCATAGCTTTCTAGGAGCTTTATTATTTTGGCACCATGAAGAATTACCTACTTTTTGAGGTGGAGGAGATCAAAGTCATGCCAACATAATTGACTTTTCTTTAATACAATTTAATCCCAGTAGTTATCAGTGCTAATAATACAACCTTGCATTCGTATCGCAATTAGAGAACTAAAAAGTGCTTTCACCTGAATCTGTCAGGCATATGGAAGTTAAATGATACACTCAAGGTCACAGCAGAATCAAGAATGGAACTTGGGTCTTGGAATTCAATGATCATCACCTCCCCTCAAAAATGAAGCACACAAAAATGAAGTACATGAACACACACGCACAAGCGAGGCCAAGGACATATCCTGAGCCAACTTTCTCAGGGATTTGTTCCCAGCTGGAACAGGAAGGTTCCCAAATAAATCACCTATTTGACAACTTTGACTGATTTTAAAATTACATATCACACTTTAGTAGTAACAGTATCCGTTTTCTCATAAGAGACAATTATACTTCATCTCAATTAACTAAATGTTCTTCAAGATCATTCCAGTAATAATCTGGTCCCCAGACTTACTAGGACCAGTTTTTCACTTAAGGATGATGCAGTCTACTGACCATTCAGGTTCAAGGTTACCTACTTTTAGCCATCTCCCACGAAGACCACCTCACAAGATGAGAGTACCTTACTTCTTGGACTCATAAAACCACTGCATTCTGCTGATATTGTTACTCTGCTTATAATATTTTGATCACCGACACAGTTTTTTTTTTTTTGGTAATCTTTCCATTGTGTAAAGTAGGTAATTCAAGGTAATAATTCTCAATTATAATTAAATATTTTGTGTCTATGATTTCATTTTTCTCAAAGACTCAGTTATGACAAATGATAATGTGTTTTGGCTGTAGCTCCTCAATCTAGCTTTGCATTGATATGTAATAACATGGAGTATGATCTTGAGATATGTCTAAATATGCTGACAGTTTGTGTAACCAAGGTAATCAAGTAGTTGGCCATCTCTACTTGATGACTTATGTAACAGGAAAAGGTCCATGTAACTCAGCATTCTCTCTATCCTGCTACAGTGGTCAATACCTTAAGTATAAGACTATAATTTATTCTGGAAGGAACTTGAGAATTCTCTCCCCATTTGATTTACTGCAGTGTGTTGGTCCTGTATTTTAAGAATAGAGATGAGTGGAAAACATCCTTCTAGATTTACAGCACCAGAACTCCAGTCAGCACCTGCCTTTCCTCAGACCCTTCCACTGAAGCTGCCTGGAACAGTCACATTGCCACAAACGACTTTCCACCATAACTAATAGGACAGCTGGGTCCATGGAGCACCACCCACCACAGCTAACCTCCAGCTGATCTACAAACAGCTTGGACTGAATGGGGGGAAAAAGAAGTTAAGACAATTAATAGTCTTATCCCAGCATATTGTATAAGCAGGACACTAAGCTACCAGATCAGTCCATGGCAGGTATTTGAGCTCAAAATATACATAGGTTAGATGCCCAGAGGATTCTAAGGGACTAGGTAAAAGCAGCAAGAACACAAAGGAAGTCGGTTCCCAAAGAAAGAATCGAATATAAACACAGAAAGGTACAGGAAATGAGGGCGAGATGGTCATGCAGAGAACAGCACAGGGTGAGAGAGGAACAGACTTCTTGGTTTCCTTGATTTCTAGAAGTCACCTCGATTTTCTATTCAGGGGGGTTTCGGTGGGCATGGGCTTGCTTCCTTTCCTCTCCTTGGATTACAAAAAACTTTGTATCTGAACAGCACATTCTCCTTTTAATTAAACTAACTTAGGAGGAAGAGTTTTCTCTTGCTCGTAATCAAAAGACACCCCAATAGAACATTTATTTTGGCAGAAATTACCAAATTCTGGCAAAAGAAGGTGAGTGACAGACAAATGTAATAAATTCTCTGTCCACGGGACTCACACAATTTGATAGTATCAACAAAATGAGGTAACAGGTGGACAAAGCAAGGGCAAATTTCAGAAATTCACAGCTAATTCTAGTCACTGACCCTAAGCACCCATGTAAGAGATCTCTCTCTTCACCAGTCACTTGCTGTGTGGCCTTGGAAAAGTCACTTAATCTCTCTGTAGCTCAGTGTCCTTATCTGTAGTATCAAAACAATAATAGCACCTACTTCAGAGATAATATATATGTCTTACAGGGCATATAAATGTTAATGTGTGCTCCTATTAATTCATAAGAAACAAATTGAGTTTTGCTGCTCTTTTCTAGTTCCTTTTACAGTCACTCTGTCCATTATTATTATAACAAATGACCTTAACTGGAACACAAATTAACATCTACTTTATATGTGATTAGGCTCTCTTAAAACTTTCAAATGTCAGCCCGTTGATATTTCTTTTGTTAGCGCCAACCCTACAGGTTACAACAGTGTCTAGCACAGTTAGCACTCAACAGATACTTTTAAATAAAAGAAGGCATGAATAAACAATTTTGGTAACTGAAACTGGGAAATACGGGCATAGAAGGTGAAAAAGCTCATCAAAGTTTCTCAAATTTTAATCAAAAGATATTCTTTCTTTTTTGCAGCAAAAGAGAATTGTCTGGCATGACTTTAATGAGCCCAAAACAAATAAAATATATCTAGAAGGGTATATGAAGAAATGAGAAATTTCCTTTGGAAAAAGGCAAAGTCAATTAGTACTTCCTCTTAAATATATAAAAAGTATCAGACCCACGAGTTTACTGAATTATGTTATTAGTAACACTAAAATTTAAGTTTAACATTGGCATGGACTGAAATGAGAAGGTTCTTTTAAAGTTTCTCTCAAATGTTACCAGCATGAGTCAATGGTTACCATACATGTGTAGAAAATAAGCAAACAGGAGGGGCAGACAGATATAAACATACCAGCAAGGGGGAAGCTGACTGTCCCCAGAAGGCCTCCAGGGCAGTTCTCAGCACCAGGTCATCTCTGGCACTTTGCCTCCCTGCTGCCAGATACCTCATTCTCAGAACATCAAAAATAGTTCTCTCTCTCTCGTTCCATATAGACATATAAAATACAAAAATATATCATGGCTATTGAGGACCAGGTTTCTTCAGTACATATCGCTGGTCTTTTCTGTGCCTTTAAAAAACTTAAACAAATGAACCTAGATATGGCTCAGTGTGTGTTCTTATTAATTCATCAGAAACAAATTGGGTTTTGCTGCTCTTTTATAGTCACTTTGCCCATTTCATTTAAAAAGTACAATTAAGATTTTATCCACCGTTTTTCTTGTTTTTAATAAATACATATTTCCTATCAGTATGTGGAGGTGAAAGACTAGTTTTTGAAAATTAAACTTCATGGTACCTGCATAATGAACATTTGTATACCTAACCCTGAATTGTACCCCACATATTCAAAATAAAAAATAAAGAAAGAAAATTAAACTTTACAATTCTTGGGTAAAGTCACTTTACAAAAGCACTTCTAGGCCAAGAAGTCCTGATTGCAATCTGATTTAAAATGTGATATATTTCCCACAACCAAGGCATTAGGCAAATATCTAAATCCCAAGTGCTAATTGATTGATTGTGTAAAGTAAAAATTGTTGCTGATCCTAATACATTCAAGTTGGCAAAACTATTACATTCTCTCCTTCTACATCCATAATAGCGTCAGAGAGCAAAATCATCAGTGTGTGTCAGGTAGGATGGACTCAGAACAAACATCTAGCAGAATTAACCATCTATTTCACAGCACTTGGCAAAGGAATCGTCCTACATCCATGTAGGTGGGAGCAGATGACTTGCTGCTGGGAGAGAAATGCTCAAAATCTGCAGCCAATCCCCCTCCTTGGCCAGTTTTTGAGGGAACGTGGTCAGTATTTGCATCTGTGACTCACAATCTAAAAGATGTGGTTTTTCTTTATATGTGTGAACACATTAGATCAGATTAATATCAAGACTTCTTGGCCTAGAAGGGCTTTTTTAAAGTGACTTTACCCAACTTTTGATCTGTAAGAATTGTCAAGTTTAATTTTCAAAAAATAATCGTGTCTTTCATTTTCAGGTTTTAATCAAAAGCCTTCCTTTTACCTCCACATATTAACAGGCCACATATATTCATTAAACACAAGACTTAAATGATAGAGTAAAATCTTAATTATACTTTTTCTAAAAATGGACAAAGTGATTGTAAAAGAAGCTAGAAAAGAGCAACAAAACTAATTTTGTTTCTCATGAATTAATAAAACAACACACACTGGGCCATACCTAGGTCCGTTTGTCTAATCTTTTTAAAGGTATGGAAAAGACCAGTGATATGTACTGAGGAAACATAGTCCTCAGCAGACATTACATATTTTTATATTTTATATGTATGTTTATATCACATTTAATCAGGTACTAATAGGGTTCTTCCTTTCTATGTCATCCCAAGTCCCTGATTCCTTCCCCACCTCACTCAAAGATCATAAACTCTATTCTAACAAAAGCCACATCTAGTTTATGACTCTATCCATAGGACCTATTCACAGTAGATACTCTAATGTGAGCAGAATGTATTATAGAACTGGCTGCATATTTAGTTACCTACAGAAATTGAGCCATTTTTAACTGAATATCAAAGATACATAATCATCTCCTATCGTGGGTTACTTGATTTTTTTAAGTATAATTTTAGCTTTAAATAGTCAACATGTAGAGCTTATATAATCTCATGATCTACTCTGACTTCTAGGGCTAAGTGTCACCAAGACAAGTGCTATAAGTATCTGTTTGTTTCCTTCAGAAGGCATGTAGCTAGACCACAAGTGATTGCATGAGAAGATAATTTGCATTAACAGGACTAGAGATGAGGACTACTACATTATCCCTCCTGCTTACACACTCTGAAGACCTTCCTCCATTCTAGTTTCCTCCAACAACCTACTGGATAACCAGAGAGTCTGAGTGGGAGAGAGAGGAGACATTTGCTCAACATCAAGAAGTCTCTTTCTATAAGGAATGATTTAAGCACACATCTTTTTAATGTGCTCTCTTTTATACCCTAATGTCCTTTTTCAAACTATGAAGTTGCTTGTGCACATAAAAAATGCAATGAATGTAAAGAAATAATAAAATAGTAAAAAGTATAAGCTAGTAAGACAAATATTAAAAAGCACAGAGTAATGGTAAAATTTATCTTATGTATATTCTGCCACAATAAAAAGCCATGTAGAGTAACCAATATAAGCCAGAAGACTAATGCAGTACATATGCAGTCTATTATAATTGCATAATGAGACCCAGGTGAAGGAAAATTCCAACATCCTTACAAAAGCACCAAAGGACAAAAAAGCATCAAAAACAAACAAACAAAGTCAGACATTAAAAGGGAGGAATTTTTCATGCCATGGTAAAGCTGCTTCTTTTTACCAAAAAGAAACGAGTAAAAAAAGAAATGTCCAAATCATTTCCATATCCCTCAAACCACAGTGTCAAATACTTCTTTTAATTTCTCTATTACTCATGGCATACAAGAAATCCTCCTTTGAAAGTAGGAATGCACTAGAGAAAAAAAATACTCCAAATGCAAGAAAATTTATGTAGTGGACAAACATGACCATCCAACGTGGCGTAATAATCTAATCTTAGCACACTTGTCTCATACAACCGCTAGACTGCAGTGACGGTACAAACTCTCCTTACCTAAAGGAATGTGAAAAGGCTTGCAATCTGTAAGAAGCCAGAGTGAGCATTAAAAAAGAAATGAAGTTCTGATAAATCTAAAACAATTAAATAACCTGCTTTTAAAACTGTTGTATAATGTTTTACCTGGGCTCTCACGTGCTACACAATTTCAGTCAGCATAAAAAGAAATGAGAGCCCCTAACAGATGTATATTTAATCGTCAAAAGAGTTCCAGAAAGCTATGTTTATTACATTATGCTTAGATGATGATAGTCCCAATATACCGAGCAAGGGATTTAGTTCTTTTGGTACCAAGTGTGACACATTAATTGGCCAAACCTATTCGACCAACAAAATTCTGGTTGTAAAACCTACTTGCCCCACAAATGAAAACATGAAGCCATGCACCCTGAGCATTTTAAAAACACAAATCTTGCATGCTGACAGAAGCAAAGCTGATTTAAACCATGTTTGTCATTTTCAGCACTATTCCAATCCACAGGGGAGGAGTGGGGCACAGAAGCACTGTGACGTGGTTTTATCAAAATGGCAAGGAAAATTCTGCAGTCTAATCTAAAATACAAATGCAAATTAAAAGCCACAACTCAAAAGCAAGATTTGGAGCTAAACATGAACACAGTTATAGCTTACAGGTTAGTACATCAGAGCACAGATGAGCTTGTTGTAATCACCCCCTGGTATAAAAAATGTCACATACAGAAAGTGAAGCCAAGTCTCAATCCAAGCATGCACCTCAACACGCCTGTACTCATCCCCCGTAAATGCCAGGCTCTGCCCACAATCACAACTTCGCAACTGCAGAGACATACTTGCCCTGCATGGTCATGAAGGACTAAAAAGACACAGAAGTTCACAACCAGAATTTTTCAGCAACCTTGAATGGATTCGTAAAAGGATCATTTTGAAGCGAGAGTGCTATGCCTAACAGAACAGAGGCAAGCACCTCTGGGCCTGGTGGGAAGGACTGCCTTCCCTCACTCCAACAGGAAAATCCAGCATCAACCAGAGGCAAAGTCAGGAAACAAATGCAACCACAATAACATTTTAATTTGCCTCAGCTACTTAATGAGCAAGGAAAAATGAAAACATACTTTACGTCTTCCAGCTTTTTGGTGATAACTGAGCCAACAGATGAAAAAGCAGCTGAAGCCTTCTGCCCAGCCTGAGACAGAGTTTCAGATGTCTTCTTGTATCTATATTAAATTATAAACAAACAGAGCAAAGAAAAGTCAGCTAACATTTTCTAGTATCAATTATTTCAAGAGCAGTGGTCACCACCTGTTGGAGAACTCTCAAGGGGGAAAAAAAAATGGCTAGGATTCCCAGGCACTTTGGTAGACCAAGGTGAGAGGATTACTTGAGCCCAAAAGATTGAGACCAGCCCAGGCAACATAGCAAAACCTTGTCTCTGCAAAAATATTAGCCAGGTGTGGTGGCATGTACCTGTAGTCCCAGCTACTCAGGAGACTGAGGCACAAAAACCGCCAGAGCCCAAGAGGTCAAGGCTGCAATAAGCCAAGGTCATGCCACTGCACTCCAGCCTGGGCAACTCAAAACAAAAACAAAAACAAATTAAGGACTAAAATTCTTCATAACTGACTGTGTTCAGAGGCTGTAGTGAACTGTGATGGTGCAGAAAAGAGTCTGGCCAATTCCAGCCCAGGTCAGAAAACTGAGGGAAATGGTAACTGCACATTTGCCAATCCAGTTTATGGGAATTGGAACAACGGAGAGTAAACAGAGAAGAACTCTAGTTCTGTCTACTCCTTCTCAAATTCAATATATGGCACAACACTGGGAAGACTGGAGACCATGTCTCATCATCTCAAATAGCAGCATCAAGTATGATTCAAAATATGTAGTTTATAGAAAATTTCAACCTCTGAAATCTGATAGAAACTCATCTTCTACAATAACTAAAAGAGACAGGATTCAGAATGCTAGTGTAATTACTACATTTGTGAATAAATATTCTTACTGAATATAGTGAATACTTTCATGGAATTCGAATCAGTACCTTATCTTCATTGTCTATCTGAATACTTTAATAAAATTTCGACAGAATAAAAAAAATTATTCATAACCACCAGGGCAGCATCATAACCTCATCTTATATTCAACCATCATTTCTGGCACAATCTTCTGCAGAGGCCTAGTCCAGCCAGAAAGACAGAGGCCGAAAAATGCAGGACCAAAGAAATCAGGGTTAGGGCTAAAAATAGCACAAAGATAAAAATGAGTGGAGTCTGAAAAACAATTATACGCTGTTTCCTTCCTTTTTCACATAAGCCAAACAAAACAAAAATGAAATCAAATTCCTCAGATGCCTTTGACAACTTGATCTCCTAGAAAGGAGCCAGAAGCAAGTATTGGGACAGGTAGGGCTCATGTATTTTATTATTAAAATACATTCTATGGACATAAGGAATATTTTTAATTTTGCATGTCTATAGAGTTACCAAATAAGGCCTTGCTGGACTCTCAACAAAGTATGCAAAAGATGCAATACTCAAGATGATTCTAGTGTGATATTTGCTATAAGACAGAGGTATAATTTACCACCTTCCTGGCTACTCAGGGATGAGAGGAAAGAAAAACAAAAACAATAGGCCAGGCACAGTAGCTCCTGCCTATAATCCTAGCACTTTAGAGACCAAGAAGAGAGGATTTCTTGAGCCCAGGAGTTTGAGACCAGCCTGAGCAACATAGCAAGACCTCTTCTCTACAAAAAAATGTTTTTTTAATATAATGATTACCAAGCATGATGGCACACACCTGTAGACCCAGCTACTCAGGAAGCTGAGGCAGAAAGACCACCTAAGTCCAGGAAATCGAGGCTGTGGTGAGTTGTGATCACACCACTGCACTCCAGCCTGGGCGACAGTGAGACCCGGCTCAAAAATAAACGATTAAATAAAACCAAAAAACAGTGACAACAAAATATAGAAACGAATATGGTACCTACCAAAAAGGTTAAGATCCCCACATTACCCTGTCAAGATGAAATATCAAGGACAAATATGATTTATAATAATACAATCAAAGCATAGTTTTCCCACTGTTAACTTATAGGGACAGACAATAGACCAAAAAAGTGGGCACCCAAGCACTGCCATGTCAAATGCAACTGGCCTCACTGCAGGTAGTTAGATTGCAAAACAACTCCCAGGCTCACCAGCTCAGCAGATGGCACTGAACAGAGAAGACAGAGCAGTGTAGAATCTGCTGCTGGGAACTGGAAGCACAAAACTGCACAACAATAATGCTCTATCATAATGTGTGTGACCAAAAAGACAGAAAGCTTAAGGGATTGACTTCTGCCACAAGCACATACCAGAGACTGTGACCTCAACCTTAGGATACATATGGAGCAGGGTTCCATAAAAAAGACTGGCTCCAGCACTGAATTCAAATCTCAACTCTACATTTTGGGAGGTCTGTGACCTTAAAATTTATCTGAGTCTATTTCTTTATCTGGGGTTATCTCACCACTCACTCTACTGGGTTATCCTGAGGACTGAATGACACAATATACATATTTGTGGCAAGTCAATATATACCATGCATGGAACTTTAGTTTTATTTCTTCAACTCACAGATGAGACTGGTTTTCTTTCTAGTCTCTAAGAAAATGGTCTGGAAAACAAAAGTTAGGAAAGAGGCAGGTATTCTTGAGAATTGGAAAGAATGTGCCCTTTGTAGTCCAAACAAAAGCTGCAGAGGGATAGGTGTGGAGGCTCATGCCTCTAATCCCAGCACTTTGGGAAGCCGAGGGGAGAGGATTACCTGAGCCCAGGGGTTCGAGGCCAGCCTGGGTAACATGGTGAGACCTTGTCACTACAATAAATAGGAAAATTAGCTGAGCATGGTGGCATGTGCCTGTAGTCCCAGCTACTCGAAGCCTGAGGTGAAAGGATTCTCTGAGCCCAGGAGATCGAGGCTGCAGTAACTGAAAGAGTGTCACTGCATTCCAGCCCGGGCAGCAGTGAGACTCCAACTCAAAAAAAAAAAAAAAAGAAAAAAAAAAGCTGCAAAAGTATCCTCGTCATCCTTCTCTTCCCCTCCCCAGACAAAAGGAGCAAAAAAGTGTCCTTTACATTATCTAGGAAATTGTATGATCAAGGGAACATACGCAGATGTTGCTGTCACATCTTGCCACCCCTTGGCAATGTTCTGTTTGAGTTCTTGTAGTGAATTGATTCCAAGTTTCCGCTTGATCTCTGCTAGATGCTTCTCTTTTGCTGCTAGCACTTGAGACAGAGTCTGGATTTCTTCTTCTACCTATGAGAAAGGGAGTTGGGGCAGGAATACAACTAGAGTCATTGAGCAAGTTAAGATTATTAGTGCAAAACTATATGCAAAACTTCAACATCGTTTTTTAAAATGTCTGGATTCATTTCTCTTTCTCTTTCAAATCAACAATACTATGAAAGAACCTGGTTACTTGCTGATCTCTCCCACAGAGCTTCTCTCTTCTCTTCCATGGTAGCTCTTTATATTACCATCCTGAACTGCCCTTGGCCTTCTCCCCTCGATCTGTACTTCCTATTCAGCTTTCTCGCAGAATTAGGACTCCAAATCCTTATGCAGATAACACTCAGATTACTCTAACATCCACTCTCCTAACCCCTGGGTCTGCCTTTCCAGCTAGACACTTCTGTATGAATGCCCACAAAAACTTGCATTTGTTAAAATAATTTCCATCCCCCATCAAAACATACACAACCAAAGCAAACCCAAATTCAGACTTCTTGCATATTTCATGTAAGTTTGTATTGGATATGTCCATCCTGGTGTCTGCCAAAGTCACAGCCATAATAAATCAAACTGTTTCCCCCCAGAGAGTCCCACGAAAGTTTCATGGGAACTCCCTGATACTAACTGTCCACACTCAGCTTCGTGGTTCGAGGGGAGCCTCTGACCCCAAAACAGCCACCCATCGAGTGGCCAAGAACTAGTGATGAGCCTGGTGTGAAAAGAGGTGTTCGGCAAAGCAGTCCCTCTCATTCAGGACTCTGTTTTGAGAACTGAGATGACACTGGGAGTAAAAGCTGGAAAGATCTGGAGATATACATAGGGTAGAGTGAGAGGACAAGAGGTTATGGAAAGATAACCTACACTTGAAGAAGCCAAACACCGTGAGCAAAAGCTATGAAGGAAAGAAAGCTGGGCTCGGTGGCTCAGCCTGTAATCCCACCCCTTGGGAAGCTGAGGTGAGTGAATTGCCTGAGCCTGCGGGTTCGAGACTCGCCTGGGCAACTTGGTGAGACCTCATTTCTACAATAAATCAAAAAATTAGCCGGGCTTGATAGCGCGCGCCTATAGTTCCAGCTACTTGGAAGGCTAAGGCGGAAGGATCGCTGGAGCCCCAGCAGGTCAAGGCTACGGTGACCGGGAGTGGCCACTGCACTCCAGACTGGGCAACAGAGTGAGACTCCAACTCAAAAAAAAAAAAAAAAGAAAAGAAAAAGGCTGACAGAGTAGAACAAAAGGCTCTGCCAGGAAAACAGGAGATGGCAGATTCACAGAGAAAAGCAGACACCATATGGAGGAGGCTTTTTGTCCCAGGAAGTTGAAAAGCAGAGTCTCTAAGAATATTACTATATAAGACCCCTAGAGAAATGCTTCTCCTGGCTTACTGCAAAGCCATAGTCTCAGCTGTGACCTGTGCGGCACTTCCGCGATTTCAAAGATGACATAGCCTTTCCAAACAACATACAGAATTGCGAAGTCAACTGCTAATTAAATCCTTAGAGGACAAGAAACGACAAAAATTAGTTCAATGGAAAGAAGGCTAAATCAATTGCAATGAAGCTGCCCCCCAAAACAGAATAACCTACTACGTAGCTCGTAGATGGCACAAAATGGACCGTCAGTTCACCAGAACAAACAGGCCATCTCTGTGCTTGTCAAAAAGGATATCAAGTATTGGGCCTAGTCTTGGAAGTCACATGGAATAAGAGATGGAAACAGCAACAAAAGAGGAATAAATAAGGTTCAAAATGAAGTAAATTAAATTATTTGCCCAAACTCATCCAACAGGCCAGGCACGGTGGCTCACATCTAAAATCCCAGCACTTTGGAGGCTGAAGTGGGAGAATTTCTTGAGCCCAGGAATTCAAGACCAGCCCGGGTAACACAGTGAAATCTTGTATCTACAACAAATAAAAAAATTAGCCAGGTGTGGTGTTGCACACCTGTAGTCCAGGTGCTTGGAAAGCTGAGGTGGAAAGATTGTCTGAACCCAGGAGATCAGGCCTGCGGTGATTCGTGATCGTGCCACTGCACTCCAGCCTGGGCAACAGAGTGAAGCCCCAACTCAAAACAAAAAACTCCTCAAACAAATAATGTAGGAACTGAATTTCAGCCAAGGTTTTCTGATTCCATGTCTCAATTTACCAGCGGAATCCCCATGTCTACTTTCACCTTCCCAATTCTTCTCTTTACTCTGAACTCCAAATCTTTAGGTATTTCCAAGAATAGACATAAATGGTAGGTTTCCTACCTCTCAACACTTTTCTGAGATATTCACGTCCCCTAATAAAAGTTAGAAAGAAAGACCACTATCAATCTTTCTGAAAAATGTACAACACAGTGTATTCCCAGCTCTGTTGTTAGTTTGTGCTGACATACCTAGTCCAGCACATCATAGCTACATTTCCTTAATTCAACATAAACATAAATTCACAAATATAAAAAAGAGTGGCCTTAAAAGCATAAAGGAAAGCATGACTAAGAATCTCTGATGATGGCTGGGTGTGCTGGCTCACACCTGTAATCCCAGTACCTTAGGAGACCGAGGAAGGAGAATAAACTGAGCCCAGGAGTTCAAGACCAGTCTGGCCAACACAGTAGCAAGACATCATCTCTAAAAAAATAAATAAAATTTTAAAAATTAGCTGGGCATGGTGGCACGCACCTGCAGTCTCAGTTACTTGGGAGGCTGAGGTGAAGGAGCACCTGAGTCCAGGAGGTCAAGGTTGCAATGAGCCGTGATCGTGCCACTACACTCCAGCCTGGGCAACAGAGTGAGACTCTGACTCGAAAGAAGGAAGGAAGGAGGGAAGAAGGCATTGAGGGAAGAGAAAAGAATTTCTGATGATGGCTGGGCACAGTGGCTCATCTGGGAGGCCAAGAAGAGGAGATCACTTGAGGTTAGGAGTTTGAGACCAGCCTGGCCAGCACAGCAAGACCCTGTTCTCTACTTTTAAAAAAAATTTTTAATGAAGAAAAGAATCTCTGGTATATTTATCACTGTATACAAAAAAAAAAAAACTCAAAACGGAGGGAGGGAGGAAGGAAGGATTGGCTTCAAAAGCACCTGTCTCCACAACACAGCCAAGAGTAGAACAAAGCCATTCCTGCAACTGAAGAGTCAAGCATATGAGCCACCAGTGAGGTCCCTTAGAACAGCGGTCCCCAACCTTTTTGTCATCAGGGACTGGTTTTGTGGAAGACATTTTTTCCACAGACGGGGTTGTGGGAGGATATGCAGTCAAACCTCACTGTTAACATTAATCTGTATTTGCAGTTGCTCCCTAGTGCTAGCATAACCACCTGAGTTCCACCTTAGATCATCAGGTATTAGACCCTCAAAAGGACCGTGCAACCTAGATCCCTCACATGAGCAGTTCACAGTAAGGTTCACGCTCCTATAAGAATCCAATGCTCCTGTGATCTGACAGGAAGTGGAGCTTGGGGTAATGCAAGCGATAGGCAAAAGCTGCAAATATAGATGAGCTTCGCTCGCTCACCTGCTGCTCACCTCCTACTGTGTGGCCTGGTTCCTAACAGGCCACAGGCTGGGCCATAGTTGGCCCTCTGCCTTAGAAGACATTCACTAGTATTCCTCTTGTTCGTTTCCTACTTCTCAGACCCATTCACCCACATACCTATTTTTCACGTAAAACAGACTGCTATCACCCTCTTCTATCTCCTCTCCCCTACGTACGTCCTCCTGAACAAGTGCTCTCTTCTGGGAACTAACTGGAAGATCCCACCCTGTGCTTAAGAAACACAAATGAGCTCACTGAACATGGCAGCAGCTCCTGGGATTCGTGCTCTTCACAACCTGGCTCGGGCCTACATGTGAGCAACTATGTCTAAGGGGCCTGCAGTTGGTATCGATCTTGGTACCACCTACTCCTACGTGGGTGTTTTCCAGCATGGAAAAGTAGAGATCATCGCCAGTGATCAGGAAAACCGAACCACTCCAAGTTACGTCTCCTTGACTGATACCAAACAATTGATAGGTGATGCCACAAAGAATCAAGTTGCAATGAACCCTACCAACAGGGTTTTCAATGCCAAACATCCGACTGGATGCAGATTAGATGATGCTGTTGGTCTAGTCTGATTTGAAGCAGCAGCCATCCATGGTGGTGAATGATGCAAGCAGGCCCAAGGTCCAAGCAGAATACAAGGGCGAGACAAAAAGCTTCTATCCAGAGGAGGTATCATCCATGGTTCTGACACAGATGAGGGAAATTGCAGAAGCCTCCCTTGGGAAGATGGTTACCAATGCCTGTAGTCACAGTGCCAGCTTGCCTTAATGACTCTCAGCATCAGGCTACCAAAGATGCTGGAAATATTGCTGGCCTTGATGTACTTAGACTTATCAAGAGCCAACTGCTGTTGCAATTGCTTGTGGTTTAGACAGAAAGCTGAAAGAAATGTGCTGGTCTTTGATCTAGGAGGTGGCTTTCCATATATCAATCCTCACGATTGATGATGGAATCTGAAGTCAAGTCTACAGCTAGAGACATCCACTTAGGTGGAGAAGACTTTGACAACCGAATGGTCTACCATTTGATTGCTAAGTCCAGGCATAAGCATAAGAAAGACATCAGGGAGAACAAGAGAGCTGACCAGTGCCTCCGTACTGCTCATGAACACACTAAGCATAGTTTCTCTTCCAGCACTCAGGTCAATATTGAGATTGATTTTCTCTCTGAGGGAGTCGATTTTTATATCTCCACTGCCCATGCCCGATTTAAAGAACCGAATGCTGAACCTGTTCTGTGGCACCCTGGACCCCGTAGAGAAAGCTCCCCAAGATGCCAAACTAGACAAGTCACAGATCTATTATACTTCCTGGTTGGTGGATCTACTCATATTCCCAAGATTCAGAAGCTTCTACAAGTCTTCTTCAATGGAAAATAACTGAATAAGAGCATCAATCCTGATGAAGCTGTTGCTTATTGTGCAGCTGTCTAGGCAGTCATCCTATCTGGAGACAAATTTGAAAATGTGCAAGACTTGCTGCTACTAGATGTAACTCCTCTTTCCCTTGGTATTGAAAATGCTGGTAGAGTCATGTCTATCCTGATTAAGCGCAACACTACCATTCCTACCAAGCAGACACAGACCATCACTACCTATTCTGAGAAGCAGCCTGGTATGCTCATTCAGGTTCACGAAGGTGAGCGTGCCATGACCAAGGATAACAGCCTGCTTGGCAAGTTTGAATTCACAGGCATACCTCCTGCACCCTGTGGTGTTCCTCAAATTGAAGTCACTTTTGAATGGATGCCAATGGCATCCTCGATGTGTCTATTGTGGATAAGAGTTCAGGAAAAGAGAATCAGATTACTATCACTAATAACGAGGGTCGCTTGAGTAAGGAAGACATGGAACGTATGGTCCAGGGACCTGAGAAGTACAAAGCTGAAGATGAGAAGCAGAGGGACAAGGTGTCATCCACAAACTCACTTGAATCCTATGCATTCAGCATGAAAGTAACTGTTAAAGATGGAAAGCGTCAAGGCAGATGAAAGATGAGGACAAACAGAAGATTCTTGACAAGTGTGATGAAATCATCAGCTGGCTTGATAAGAATGAGAATGCAGGGATGAAAGAACATCAACACCATCAGGAAGAGCTGGAGAAAGTCTGCAACCCCATCATTACCAAGGTGTACCAGAGTGCAGGAGGCCTGCCAGGAGGAACGCCTGGGGGACTCCCCGGTGGTGGAGCTCCTCCCTCTGGTGGTGCTTCCTCAGGGCCCCCCATTCAAGAGGTTGATTAAGGCAGCCCAAGTATAGGGGTAGCACTGTTCTACACAGTTAATACAAAACACTGAGGGGCCCAAATGAGTAGCAAATTCGGTGGCAGTTTTAAAGTTGAGCTGCTACAATAAATTACTGGGCATTCTCAATACTTGAATATGGAACATTCACACAGGGGAAGGAAACAGCATTGCACTTTATAGGCACTGTATTATTAAGTGGAAAATGCAATGTCTTAAATAAAGCTATTTAAAAACTGACACCATAAAAAAAAAAAGAAAGAAAGAAACACAGATGACGGTGCACTTCACGTTCTAACAGGAATGCTTCTTCACCTTTGCAAGTTCTTTTCGTAGCTCCTCCCGCTCCTCTTCTGACAGGGTCTCTGTGGCACTGATCGTGGCAGCGACATCTTCTCCTTCCTCAGGGACTGGGTCTGTTCGCAGCAGACCTGGTTGGGGATTTAAAAAAAAAAAAGTCTGTCAAGTGTGAAGGCAAAGGAAAATCCTCCTGTGGGCTCCTCCGCCATCCCAGCCAGAAGAAAGTCAGTTAGGTTAGATCCACACATCATCTTTCTGGACCTTCGAAGGACCTGGCTCTCCCAGGAAAGGACAAAAGAAAAGTCTGGACTAACTGCCAGAAACCACCAACTTAGACTCTGCAGAAATACGAACTGAGAAAACAGAGCATAGTCTCAGCTTCTGTTCACAGTCTCGGTCACAATAGTCACTACAGATCAGAAGAGTTGGAGGCCTGATTGGGATCTTGCCAGGGCTTTACAATGCTGCGCTGGTAAATCAGTAGAACTGAGAGAGAAGATTTTGGGCCCTTGCCACTAATCTAGGGGGAGAATTTGTGCAAATCTTCAGTTTCTTAGGGTGATCAAATCCAACAATGAATGAAGGAGCGACCACTAAAAGAACGAGATGCCCTAAAGAAGACTTATTCCACGTCTCTCCATCAGTTAGTGTAGTTAGGGAACACCTTGTTGCAGCTTTTAAAAATATTTATACAGCCAGGCATGGTGGCTCACACATGTAATTCCAGCATTTTGGGAGGCCACGTGGGAGGATCACTTGAGCCCAGGAGTTCGAGACTACCCAGAGCAACACAGCAAAGCCTTGTCTCCACAAAAAAAATTAAAAATCAGTCAGGCATGGTGGTGCGTACCTGTAGCACCAGCTACTCAGGAGGCCAAGATGAGAAGACTGCCTGAGCCCAGGAGGTTGAGGCTGCAGTGAGCCATGATTGTGCCATTGCACTCCAGCCTGGGTGAGACCTCGACTCAAAAAATAAAAGTATGTATTATCCAGACCTCTTTTAAAAATACTGTATTAAAAAAATACTGTATTACTTGATGACTGAGCTTTCTGGCACCACTTTCAATTTTATTATTTTATTTACTTTTTTCAGTTGAGTTCTCACTCTGTTCCCCAGGCTGGAATGTAGTGGCATGATCACAGCTCACTGCAGTCTCAACCTCCTGGGCTCAGGCAATCCTTCCACCTCAGTCCCTGGAATAGCTGGGACTACAGACGCATGCCACTGTGCCTGGCTAATTTTTTCATTTTTTGTAAAGATGAGGACTCACTGTGTTGCCCAGGCTGGTCTCTAACTCATAGGCTCAAGCAATCCTCCCTCAGCCTTCCAAAGTGTTGGGATTACAAGCATGAGCCACTCTGCCCGGCCTCTTTTTTATTCTTATTTTCTAGAGATGGGGTCTCACTCTGTCAACCAGGCTGGAGTGCAGTGTCACCTTTAAATTCTGCATGTGAGGTGAGTACTTAAGGCGAGTACTTACAGGCCTCCTGTGCCTTACCAAGCTCTGTCCACCCATTCCCATGTCACAGAGATTTCAGAGTCTCCTCAGAGGCCCAGGGAAGGTCTTCTCCTTGGCCCACTCTTTGCCTCTTCCTGACAGTGAGTGTCACAGCTACTGCAGTTGTTCCCACTACCCCCCCAGGATCACTTCTGAGAAGTGTCGGTTCAACCACAGCAGCACCATGGCAACACACCCAAAGCAAGGTGCAGAGAAGAAAAGGAAGGGAGAACACCACGCTGTTGAACAAGCAGTCAGCATCATGGCAAACATGCAAGAACTATATGAGCCAAGGAGGTAATGTGTGTGTACATGGTACAAAGGCACAGGGCACAGGGTCTATTATAGACTCATTGTTGAATAGTAGTTAATAATTATAACAACAATAGTCACCAGCATGACAGTACCAAAATGGTGCCAAGCTGAAGGGTGTTTACAAAACTGTGCAAAGCATAAAGGTAATGCAAATAAAACCACAGATCGGGCTAGGTACAGTGGCTCATGCCTGTAATCCCAGTACTTTGGAAGGCTGAGGCAGGAGGACTGTTTGAGTCTAGGAGTTTGAAACCAGCCTGGACAACATAGCGAGACCTCATCACTACAAAAAATTTTTTTAAAAATCAGCCAGCATGCCTGTTGTCCAAGTTCCTCAGGAGGCTGAGGCAGAAGGATCACCTGAGCCCAGAAGGTAGAGGCTGCCGTGAGCCATGATCATGCTATTGTTCCAGCCTGGGCAACCGAGTAAAACTCTGACTCAAAAACAACAACAACAAAAATAAATTGGACTGGCAAACAGATATAATTAAGCTCTTGAACACATACACAAGACCTGATGGGTACAGTTCATAGGTAGAAAAGCTCAATGAATAATTGCTTCTGTAGGTCTTCTTCCAAAATATCTTCGAACAAACTGCCCAAGTAATATTTCTATGTAATAGAAATCTGATCATGTCTCTTAGGCTTTAAGTTCTTCCGTGGTTTCTTACTATTTTCAAAGTGAAGTTCAACCCGAGTGGGCGCATAGGCCTTACTGAACCCAGTTCTTGCTAACGGCACTGGCATATCTTACTCCAACTCCTGCCAAATCGTCCTGTGAACAAGGTGCTGTCTACACGCCATCAGAAACCACGTGATGTGTGATTTACCCTCCCTGTCAGATTATGTACAAAAGGAATATGAGATTGAGGATGGGAGACAAGTACATGGCAAAAGACAAAGAAGGGGGAGAAAATTTGATTCATATGTATTAACACTGAATACATGAGCCACTGTGAGGGGAAATGTATATGTTATCTCATAAAAAGAAAACATCGAGCATGCCACTGCACTCCAGCCTGGGCGACAGAGTGAGACTCTGACTCATAAAGAAAAAAAAAAAAAAAGAAAATGTCTTGCAAGTGACCATCACATAAGGTAACATGGTAAGAACTAGAAAGATGTACCCATCAACATTCTTTATTTTTACTATTTTGCTCAGAATTCCCAAGTTCTCCAACTAGAAAAGACCCCAAAACAAAACATAACAAGATTCACGAACCAAACCATGACTTACGTAGCAAAGACTCATTCATGCTTGCTAATAAACACTTTTGCAAATCTACTTAAACAAAGGGGGAATATAATATCTGATTGCTAATAATACTTCATGTGTACTGCCCAATTCCCAAAAGAATCTTAGGGGATTCTGATAGTATTCAAGCATTCAGTTAGGCTACCAAAGAAAATAAACCTCTCAGAAAAGGCGACTAAGGGGTTGTCCAAGGTTTGCGTCAGGTCCGCCAAGATGACCTGAGATTTTATATTCAGCGTCTAAATCAGTAATTACTTGTCCGGCTTCTTCCATGTTAGCCTGTAGATGGCAGCAAATCACCAACCTTAAAATTTTAAAGGCACTGTTTTAAGATCAACAGGAAAAACATTTTAGAAAATAAAGGACACTAAGGAACAACAGAATGGTAGATACCAAAATCACCAGGAAAACATGACAGTCATGACTTGGGAAAATTACTACCCACAGCCACCATTACAGAGTGTATTCTATTTATATCCAAATCTGAGCTAAGTGGTCTAAATATTTATGTGTGAACTTCTGTAATGTAAAGACCATGGTCACTATTTACAGCTGAGAACACTGAAGCTTACAGTTTGTTAAGCAGTTCATCCTAATTAACACACCTACATATTGGTGGAGTTGGGATTTTGAGCCCAAACAGTATCATATGAAAGCAGATACTTCAAATCACTGATCTGAAAGACAGAAGTAGGAGGAGGCTGAAGGTCAGATTTGGAAGGTATCTAGAAGCAATAACAAATAAGACTGTAAAAAGTAAAAGAATCAGCCAGGCTCAGTGGCTCAGCCTGTAATCCCAGCACTTTGGAAGGCGAGGTGACTAGACTGACTGACCCAGCAGGTTTGTGACCTGCCCAGGTAACTTGGCGAGACCTTGTCTCTACGATAAATCAAAAAAATTAGCCGGGTCTGGTAGTGTGCACCTGTAGTTTCAGCTACTTGGAAGGCTGAGGTGGAGGGATCGCTGGAGCCCAGCAGGTCAACTGCACCCCAGCCTGGGCAACAGAGTGAGACTCCAACAACAACAACAACAAAAAGTAAAAGAATCTGGCAGATGAGATCAAAAGTAGTCTTCATCATTTCACCATCTACAACTCAGGAAAATTTGGGAACTGAAATTTTGCTATTTCCTACATGTTCAGAATCAGATGTATTTAAAATGATGTATTTAAATGAAAATAGAATCTGGCTTTTGGGAGAAAAGGTTATTGATTACTCATTCACAACATGAAAGTTGGGAAATGGGCATATCTTAATGTATAGATTACATAAAACTATAAATAATCCAAAAATTCATATTTGTTCATTAATTTAGTGTTTCTCCTCAGAATCTGATGGAAAGCTTTTTTTTTTTTGAGTTGGGGGGTCTACCTCTATCGCCTACTGCACTATCTGGAGTGCAGTGGCTTGATCATGACAATTATGGCTCACAGCAGCCTTGACTGCCTGGGCTCATGTGATCCTCCCACCTCAGCCTCCCGAGTAGCTGGGACTACAGGTACACACAGCCACACATGGCTAATTTATTTTTTTTGTAGAGGCTAGGTATTACTAGGTTGCCCAGGCTTGTCTTGAACTCCTGGGCTCAAGCAATCTGCCCGCCTCGGCTTCCCAAAGTACTGGGATTATAGGCGTGAGCCACGGTGCCCAGAAAGCTATTTTTAAAAGATAAAGAAAGGAAAGAAAATATGATTAATATTTACTGACGTCATATACACTGGGCACTGTGAGAAGGGATTTACACGTTATCACATAAAAATCACAACACCTTACAACCAATACCTGATGAGTAGTGTTTATTCCCATTAGGAAACTGAGGCCTTCTGAGGTTAAGGTTACATAATGTGTCCAGAGACAAAGAGGCGAGATTAAAACTCAGGTCTTTCTGCCTCTAGTCTCTTGCTCCTTCATATATACCTTTTCTTACAGAAATACCAATGAAATACCAAGGACACAGAGCTGAGTCTTTCTCCACAGGACTTTCTACTTCCCTGAGGGTCTGAGAACTTGTGGGGACTCCCTGGTTTAAAGTCAGAGATTGCCTTATCAAACCCAGATGACT